ATGTGATATACTTATTGGAATGCCCATGCGGGCTCCAATATGTGGGCATGACTAAGAGATGCCTTAAAGTGAGATTAGCAGAACATTGCCGTAACATTAGGAGAGGTTATGAGAATCATTCAGTTTCCAAGCATTTTTTAATACATAATAAAGACCCGACACTTTTAAAAGTAACTGGTATAGAACAAGTTACTCTCCCATGGAGAGGTGGAGATATGATAAAAACTTTAGGCAAAAGGGAAATGTACTGGGTCTATACACTTAAGACTCTTTTTCCTGAGGGCTTGAACGCTGAATTTGACCTTTTTAATTTTTTATAATTTTTTTTTTTTTTAATTTTTTTATAATATATCACACATTCTACCCTTTATTTATTTATCTTCCCTTTTTTTTTTTTCTCTAGCCCAAATGTATAGGGGCTATTTGTTACCATAAGGTTAATAATATATACCTAGCTATTTAGCTCCTAAATACACTTTTTACATTTTTTAGTTCTATTATTCTTTTTCCTATTCTTTTACATATTCATATTTGTTTTATATATTTATATATTTATATTCGTTTTATTTATATTTGTTTTATCATTGGCTGTTATGCCACTTATTTTCGTTGTGTATAAAGGTTGATCATGATCGGCATTAGGCGCCGCCCCTTTTTGTTGATGTCAGACGGAGGCGTGCCCCTTGTTGCCGGCCCCCGTCTGAACATTGCATACCCCACGAGCCCTTGCGGTATACACCGCCCCCACCATTGACGTCAGACGGAGGCGTGCCACAGGATGCCGACCTCCGTCTGAGCGGTCACATCCTACACCGATATGTGCAATTAGTCACGTGATCACGAAGGTCCGTGATCACGTGACCATCTATTTTCGCTCCCTCCCCTGTTACTACATTTCCCATATTGCCTCAGTGCTCACCATGTGATCGCATTAGATTGCGATCACATGATTTTTGATTCAATTTATTATTTTAACCAATAACACTCGTTTTATTATCAAATATTATGCATTATTTTATATTTTATATTATGAATACTATGCATTCTGTATTTTTATGTTTTTAATCATTTTGCTTTTCACACACTGTATGGATGACGTCATTTTGGCGCCAAAATTTGAATAAGCATGTTTTATCATAGTTTATATAAGTATCTATGTACCAGGCTGATTTTTACTATTGCCAGTTGATAAAGCCCTGTGTGGCGAAACGCGTTTTGGCTATTTTATATATTTTTTATTGTACTAATAAAGGAATAGTGGCTTCTTTACAACAATTTTGCCATATACCTTTTTATTTTATTTTTAATAACTTATTTTAAATATTTCCTGTCACCTGGTCATTCACCAACTTGGAATCTACTCACGACCAAGAATCCTCGGTGGGGATTGTACCACCTATGCGAATATACTGAGCAGTTTATCCTGCTCATTCGAATGTGAGTATTTTTATTCTTTTATTTTATTTCATTTTTATCCAGTGAGCACTATATTCTGCTTTTATCTCCTTTCTATTACCGAGGAATTACCTTCATCTATATCCTACCAGTGGGGGATAAACGCCACTGAACGCCCAACATACTAGAGCGAGTTTATGCTCTAAGATAGGTGAGTGTATTACCTACCTATTATTATTATTTACCACAGACAGTCTGCACTTTAAGCCATAGCCAACAAAAAATAAAGTAATGAAAAAAGGCTTGCACTCACGGTCTTATAATGTTTAAATCGGGTTTTCTTTATTTGATGTTATTCCATAAAAACATCAACGTTTCAGCCCTTGTTCGGGGCTTTCTTTAGGATAAACTAACATATACATATACATATATATATATATATATATCAGTATGTATGCATCTTTGTAAGTTCATCTGTGTAAGTGCATGTGCATCTGTGTGTACATATATGTCAGTGTGTGTCTGTGCGTCAGGGTGTGTAAATGTGTCAGTGTGCGTGTGTGTGTGTGTCTAAATGCATGTATCTGTGTGTCACAATTGAATCTCTGTGTGGTTGTACATGTTAGTGTGCATCTTTTGGTCAGGGTATGTGCATGTGTATTTCTGTGTGTTAATGTGTCTGTAGCCCTACCTGCTTACCCTTGCCTTGGGGGGGTAACATTTCCCGCAATTCCGGATGGTCCGGTGGGGAAGCTCTGGTGGTCCCAGTGGTGAGAGTGAACTCTAGAAGCCTCAGGAGATGGTAACCGTGGCAATGTTCCGAGCTCGCGCGAGGTTAGAGCTCCCCCAGGTACTCTCTCCCTCCCCTGACGGCTGCCTCATTACACTGCTAGTGGGCCAGAGAGGGAGATCTCTGATCTCCCCTCCAGTCCTGCAGAGCCGGCAGAGGAGAGGGAGGCACAAAAATATTTTGCAGCTCCCCTGTGTGCACACAATTTGAGAACCTCTGATCTATACTAATAAAAATTAAGTTTTATTTTACTCTTGGGGTATATTTAGGTCTTGGTAGTCTTTCAGAGGTGGATAATCTTTACGTATACACTCATTTTCCACACCCTCATTGTTCTTTTCTTTTAGTTACTATATAGGGGTTATGCCCCATTTTGAGGGTGCTGGTATACACGGCTCCAATCCCTATTGAATTGTTGGTACTAAAATAAGGGGTTGGGGCCGGGGAGGACAGTAGGTCCCCACCCCTCATTCTTATTTAGGGCCCCAACCCGCCGCGCAGGGGTGTGGGGAAACAGTAGGTCCCCCCCCCCTCAATCTTATTGTGGGGGCTGGGGGGGGGGAGGACAGTAGGTCCCCTCGTCATTGTTATGTAGGGCCCCCACCTGCTGGGGGTGGGGGCAGGAGGGGAGGACAGTAGCAAGCAGAACCAGGAAAGATAGAGTTACATTTTAATATCTACTAGAAAAACAACATGTGTACCCACGTATTCAATAGTGAAATTGTGAAATCAAGAGTCAACAGAACCACTGAAGCTTATGGAATAGTTCTGGGGCACAGAGCCTGTCCCTGCAGGTTAGCAGTGTAAAAGGCAGCAATTACACTGCTACCTAAGTTCACCTCTGGTTACAGCCACTATAGCGCCTTCATGGTCTTTGCAGGACCTACGTTCAGCATCTCCACACTCTGCATGGAGATGCTGAACACTTCCCATAGAGATGCATGGATTTAGAGGGACACTATAGTCACATGAACAACTACAGTTTATTGAATTTGTTCTGGTAAGTATAATCATTCCCTTCAGGCTTTTTGCAGTAAACATGGTCTTTTCAGAGAAAATTCAGTGTTTGCATTACAGCCTAGGAATACCTCCATTAGCCTCTCCTCAGATGGCTACTAGAGGTGCTTCCAGTGTCTCTACACTCTGAATGGAGACACTGAACTTTCCTCATAGAGATGCACTGATTTAATGTATCTCCATAAAGAGATGCTGATTGGCCAGGGCTGTGTTTGGCTTGTGCTGGATCTGGTCCTGATCTACTTCCTTGACAAGCTCAGCCAATCCAATGTGAAAGCGTTGTGATTGCCTCAGAACACAACTTCTGATGATGTCAGCCAAGGGTCAGGAATGCATGTTTGTGTTCCTGACCTTATAGTGTTCCTTTAATGTGTCTATATGAGGAGATGCTGTCTGGTACAGTGCATCAATTTGCACTATGGTGGTGGGGCAAAAAGTCAACATTAATATAGAAAATAATAATTTCAACCTTAATATATAAAATTAAAACTATTGTATGTGTCATTGCCCTGAGCAACAACAGATCAGAGTCACTGATCCACACAAGTGGTATCTTGGGAGAATTGGCGGTGGCTGAACATGTTGGACACCCACATCTAAATTGCTATGATGTTCCTCTGATCTCCTACTGGTAACTGTCAAAGCTCAACCTCTTACTTATTAACAATGACCTATTTGGTTTTATAACTCTTATTTGGTTTTGTTCTGTTTATGTTGAGAAAACCACAAAATAGTGAATGTAACTGACCGAATAACAGTTTTAAAGCAGTTTTGATGGTTGGAAAATGCTAATTTCACTGGTGCCATATTCTTGTATCATGCATTCACAATAAAAATTGGTTTTTTGGGAAAAAAGTGGCAGAATTAATTTAACCATAGAAACCACAGTAACTGTAAGTTCATCAAACATTTTGGGGGGATATGCAGTATCAAAATTTCCACTTACTCTTTCATGTGTGAAAATGAAATCCTGGTAATTAAATCTGGATGGGGATGATTAAGATAACGGTTTTATAAATCCTAGTAAACTAACCTGGATGTGGAAGATTAAAATAACGTTTGATAAACTCTGGTAAACTGATCTAGATAAGGAATATTAAGATAACTGTTTGATAAATACTGGTAAACTAACCTGGATGGGGAGGCTAAGATAATGGTCTAATGAACCCTGGTAAACTGACCTGAATGTTGAGGACAAGATAACGGTTTGATAAACCATGGTAAACTTGACCGGGATGGGGAGAATAATATAAAATTTTGATAAACCCTGGTAAACTGACTTGGATGGGAGGATATGATAACAGTTTGATAAACCGTGGTAAACTGTTCTGGATGGGGAGGATTAAGATAATGAAGTAAAGCTGATATTCCATCAACATGCACTACACTGGTAACTGATTAAGCAAAAGTCCCTGCAGCCACCACGCATAAATGAGGGGAAGGAATGGTTTTAAATATTACCAGAAGGAAATGGGTGGAAGTAACATGGAGAATGGGTGGGTAAGTGACGCAGGGAGGGCAAAGGGTGCAATAACATTCAAAAACACTATGGCTCTCCATAAAAATAGATCACTACACTCACATTGCATCTTATAGACACATTAGCACTCTACCCTGATACATCCCTACATGTATTCGCATTGACAATGCACAATGCAGACACACCATGAATAAAAACACAATTCTGTTTACTCCAGTTAATTATAAACCTGTTAAATAGCTTATCTATTAAAATTTGAAAAACTGAGATAATCTTAATTAACAGAGACGGTGCATCACTATACTGGTATTGCCTTACCATGTTTGCCACGTGATATATCCACATACTGACAAAGTCTTGGATGGACAATGGTCTTGAGGATTTGAAATCTTCCCAGAATTTTAATGGAGTTTGGGGTGAGAGGAAGTCCATTGCTTCCACACACATCATGAGGGAGTGCAGAAGCAAAGAAGGTGAAAGCTCCGAGCTGTGCATCTTTCAAAGGAGACATGTTTTGTGGTACAGCCAGCTGAGACCTGCAGAAAGGAAGATGTAATTATAACGTTATTGGTTGACTACATGGGCAGGGAATATATATCAGAACAAGTTAACAGTACAATTATTTTCATATTTATTGACATTCATTTCAATAATTCCCACAAGTCAATGTTAAACTGAGCAAAAAAATCCAATAGATATTCTTACTATTAGCTCAAACATGCAGATTTTTCAAAGTGTTTTTTGAGCTGCATCAACAAATCGGTAATTTCTGACTTTACTTTGTATAGCCTAGTTAAAAAAAAAAAAAGTGGGTATTGCATGTAATTCATTATTATGAAACTACAATCTTCAATAAAATAATGGATGTATTTTGTGCCCTAATGTACTGATTTTACCCTAACACCTCTCCATATCCAATGAGGTACATGGCATTGCCCTGATTTGTGCTTTGACACAGAGTAAAAACCTGGTTTCAGTTCCCAAGAGACGGCAAATTTATTAAATAAACAAGATATTGACTTTGTAAAGAATAAAGGCTAATTAATTTCATTATACAAATGATCTCCAAAGTCAGAGTGGATTCACTTGTATTGAAATAAGGGAGCACACATCAGAAATACTTGTATGCCAGAGAGCTACCTACAGAGCTGTGACTACTATACAAAAAAACTAAAACTTATGGCATTGGCATCAAACTAATTTGATTTGTGCAGTAATGAGGCAGGTGTGCAGAAAGTGTTTTAGGGCTGTTTCCTCTATTATATATAATTGGCACTACCTATTTAATTACATATCATTATACTTCCAAAAGCTAACCATGCACTCAAACTGCACATATAAATCTTTGAATGATGGTATAAGCTGACGGTAAATACATTATTGCCATTCTAGGTATTACATGAATAGTATGTTAATTAGCCAGCATCCCTGCTATAGCCAGCAATGCTCAGTGTACATCATTAACACATTATAATGCTTTAATAACACCATGCTCGTGGTGATGCCTGTGTGCAGGGGCTCCTGTCTCCCCCCACCATGGTAGGCTCACCCCTGGATCGGGCTGCTTGATTGAATCTCACTTTCCCCGGCAGCTTCCCTAAACTAGACGCTATTCCAGCACTGGGCATGCGTGAGATTCTCCATTGACAGGAGCTCGGTCACATGAGTATGACGTCATTGTGCTGCGCCATGCACAGGGCATGGTCCAGGATTGGGGTGCTGGGAGGACTGTGTGAGTTCCCCCCCCCCTGTTTTCTGGTTCTGGAATGTGATGAGAGGAGACACCAGCTGATACCACAATAGCCCTTTTATGGCAGCTCTCTGAAAACAAGAGGAACTTGTTAAATATCTGCTGCATCGGATGGTGAATTCATTAAAGGACCACTATAGGCACCCAGACCACTTCAGCTCAATGAAGTGTTCTGGGTGCCAGGTCCATCTAGTTTTAACCCTTTCTGCTGTAAACATAGCAGTTTCAGAGAAACTGCTATGTTTACCTATGGGTTAATCCAGCCTCTAGTGGCTGTCTCATTGACAGCCGCTAGAGGTGCTTCTCACTGTGATTTTCACAGTGAGAAGACGCTAGTGTCCATAGGAAAGCATTGAGAATGCTTTCCTATGAGACTGGCTGAATGCGCGCTCAGCTCTTGCTGCGCATGCAGCTGATGATGGGGAAAGGAGGAGGAGAGTCTCCAGCACCGAGGGGGCCCGGTGCTGGAGAAAGGTAAGTGTTTAACCCCTTCCTCTCCATCCAGCCCGGCGGAAGTGGGACCCTGAGGGCAACTGTAACCTCAAATCTATTTTATTTTTAAATATCCTTTCATCAAGTTTTGAAAGAAAATAGATTTTTTTTAGTTATCTGTATATAGATATATATATATATATATATATATATACACACCGTATATACTCGATTATAAGGCGAGTTTTTCAGCACATTTTTTGTGCTGAAAAACCCCCACTCATCTTATACTCAAGTCAATGTCTGTATTATGGCAACTTACATTGCCATAATACAGACCAGGACCGCCGGGCTCATTATAAGCCGGCGGTTCTGTTGGGGGCTGGCAGAGAGCTGTAACTTACCTTTCCTGCAGCTCCTGTCAGCTCCCTTCTCCTCCGGTCCGGTCAGCTCCCTTCTCCTCCACTGTAAGTGTTGCGAGAGCCATGGCATCAGAGCGTTGCCCCGGGTTACCACGGCAACGCTCCGCGCGGCACTTAGACCGCGAGACTTACAGTGGAGGAGAAGTGAGCAGACAGGAGCTGCAGGAAAGGTAAGTTACAGCTCGCTGCCAGCCCCCCAACTACACAGCCCATGCCACTAGACCACCAGGGAATAATATAGCTCCCCTCCCTGGCCATGTATCAAGCAGGGAGAGGGGGGACAAAAAAAATATAAATAAAAATTGAAATAATAAAACAAAAAAATTAATAATATTAAACATAAAAATAATAATATTAAAAAAAACTAAATTTAATATTAAAATAATAATAATTTAAAAAAAATAATAATAAAAATGCCCAACCCCCACCAAGGTTACACACTCTGCATCACACACTCAAACACACTCTGCATCACACACACAAACACACTGCATCACACACACACACTCTGCATTCATTATATACACAAAAACTGTAATTTTACTCACCATAAATTCCTTTTTCCTTAATATGGTGGCAGTACAATAGGGATGTACTCTTCCCTCGGGACAAGCATCTGAAATAAATAATTAACATAAAAAGTATCTCCCCTTACCAGGTATAAGAGACCCAACCAGCCCAGGGACCTCAGTACGTACCAAGAACACCTCAGTGAATCCATAGAATACCCAAATATAATATATATACATAAAGGGAGGGAGTGATGTACTGCCACCATATTAAGGAAAAAGGAATTAACGGTGAGTGAAATTACAGTTTTTCCTGACATGGTGAGTGGTGACAGTACAATAGGGATATATTGAGATCCCATACTAAGGGCGGGAAGTTAGGCAATAACAGCTTGTAACACCTTGTGCCCAAAATCAGCGTCAGAGGCAGAGAATACGTCTAGCCTGTAATGCTTGACAAAAGTGTTGCAAGAAGACCAGGTAGCCGCCTTGCATACATCTTCTGGACAGGCACACGCTTTTTCGGCCCAAGAGGCAGCCATGGCTCTAGTATAATGTGCTTTCAAGGAGGCAGGCAGAGGTAGATTCGAGGAAGAATAAGTCAATTTGATAGTATCCACCAGCCATCTAGCTAAAGTGGCCTTGGAGGCAACTTGGCCTTTAAATTTTCCAAAGAAATTCATGAATAGATGATCAGTCATCCTATACGTAGAGGAGCAGTCCAAGTACATTTTCAGAGACCTACCCAAATCTACATGGCTCCAATCAAATTTGCAATCTGGCATATATGGACCATTAAAGGAAGGAAGAAAAATAGGTTGGTTTATAACCTTGGAGGAGATGACTTTCGGAAGAAAGGAAGGCTTAGGGTACATAACCACTTTATCCGGAAGAAGTTTTGTAAAGGCAGGAGAGGAAGAAAAGGCCTGGAGTTCCCCTATCTGCCTAGTTAATGGCCACCAAAAACACGGTTTTCAGGGACAGATTCTTCAATGAAGCTTCTTCCAAAGGTTCAAAAGGCTCAGTACACAGAGATTTCAAAACTAAAGATGAATCTCAAGAGGGAAAACAGATTTTCTTAGGAGGCTTTATGAGTCTAACAGCTTTAAAAAAATCTCGTAATGAGAGGATCAGAAGCCCAATTTTTTACAAATAAATGACTGAGAGCGGAAACTTGGACTTTGAGGGTAGACAGACTAAAACCTTGAGCAAGACCATCTTGCAAAAAATGAAGGATAGTATCAGTAGAAGGAGAGGATCCTATGCAACGATGAGATATGCAAGAAATCTCCACCAAATTTTTAAGTAGATGGAAGAAGTAGAGCTTCTGGTAGAATTTAACAGTAACTGAACCTCTCTTCTTTAATGCCCCTATTATGCAGATTTAGCCATGCAGCAGCCAAGCCGTCAACCTGAACATGTTCAATACTTCTACTGGAATTCCCTTGTTTTCCAGAAGATCCGGTGTTACCGGGAGAATCCAGTACTTTAAAGCCATCTACTTTAAAACCGAAAACCAGCTGCGGTTTGGCCAGTACGGTATTATTGCCAGAATACGAGCTTGATCTGATGTTACCTTTTGCAGAATCCTTGGGACAAGGCTCACTGGGGAGAAAATGTAAGCAAGGGGAAACTCCCACCGGATCGAAAGACCATCCATTACCAGCGGCTTGTCTACCTTAAAGAGGGAGGCAAACAAACTTACTTTTCCATTTGATCTTCTTGCCATAAGGTCTATGACTGGCAGACCGAATCTCTTCACCAGATGAGTGAATATTTCTGGATTGAGAGACCACTCGTTCTAGGACAATTTTGATCTGCTTAAATCGTCCGCTACCACGTTGTCTACTCCTCGAATGTGAATGGCGGAAATGTCGTCTAGATGACTTTGAGCCCAGGACATAATTCGTGAGCAAAGGAAATACAATCTTTTGATTCTTGTACCGCCTTGTTTGTTTAGGTAGGAGACTGTAGTCTGATTGTCCGACTGGATCTTTACAGCTTTTCCTATAATGAAATCCTTGAACTGCTGAAGAGTATAGAGAACTGCCAACAACTCCCTGAAATTTGAAGATTCCTTTGTTTCCTTTTTCGACCAAACACCTTGTCTTAAGTGATACAGGAGGTGAGCTCCCCAACCTCTATTTGAAGCGTCTGTAGAAATCACGTTCCAAGATTTTTGACGAAAAGACAGGCCTTCTGTAATGAATTTTTCCTCTAGCCACCAAGAGATCTTTTCTTTTGTATGATCTGATATACTCATTAAAGCATCCAAGTCTTCTTCCTTCTTTGACCATTGGACAAGAATTTCCCACTGTAAGGGCCTTGATTCCGCTCTGGCCCATTTTACTGCCGGAATTGTAGAGGTCAGATGACCTAAAACCTGCATGGCTTTCCTCACCGAACAGTCTGACATCCGAAGAAGGTTTTTTATTAAAATCTTCATCTTTTTTTCTCTTGTCAGATGAACTGACAGAGACTCTGACTTGATCAAAAACCCTAGAAACAGGATAGACCTCGTAGGGGTAAGGTGTAATTTTTCTAGGTTGATAATCCAACCATGTTCTTCCAGGATTTCTAGCGCATAGGCCACATCCGACTCTAGAGCACCTCTTCAACTGCCTTTATTAACCAGTCGTCCAAGTAAGGTACTACTGTGATTCCTTGCATCCTTAAAAAAGCTGTGACAGGTGTGAGGACCTTTGTAAAAATCCTGGGTGCTGAAGCTAGCCCGAATGGAAGGGCTTTGAATTGGAAATGATGGACCTTTTTCCCTTTCCTTATAGCAAACATCCGGTATTTTCTTGATTTCAGATCCATAGGAATATGCAGGTAGGCATCCTTTAGATCCAAAGTTGCCATGAAATCTCCTTTTCGAAGGATATGGGTGACAGACGCTATAGTCTCCATTCTGAAATGTTGGTAAGGAATGAGTTTGTTCAGGTTTTTTAGATACAAGATTGGACGAAAAGACATGTCCGGTTTTGGGACTAGGAACAACCTGGAGTATACCCCTTGATATACTTGGGAAGTTGGAATCCTTTCTACCACACCTTTTCTTAATAGGGAGACCGTGGCAGAAAAAAGGGCTTTTTTTTTTTTAACTTCGACCGGTAGGAGGAGACAAGGAAACTCGGTCTTGGGACATCTAAGAATTTTATTTGGTATCCATTTTGCACCAGATTCAGAATCCATGGATTTTGTAGTGGTCTCCCTCCATCTGTGAACAAAACCTTGCAACCTTTCGCCCACTCTGATGGCGTCAGAAACATTTGTTTCTGTCAGACTTAGGGTCTTTTTGTGTGTCAAATCTTGGATTTTTTCTTTGTTGACGAAAAAAACTGTGTTTTTCTTGAAAACCCCTATGGTTTTTGAACTTGAAATTTCTATACCTGGGTTTCCAGGCATATTTCCTGTCTTGAGGCAGGGCCTTGTTGGTTTCCGACATTTGTCGGATTAACTCTTCTAAAGGAGAACCAAACAACTTTTTCTTCTCCA